AGGGTAGACAGTGGGAGAAGACACAGTTTATTCTTTCTAAAATTAAATAGTAACTCCTTAATACTCCATGAGTGCTCTCAATATGGAATGACTACATACCAAATCTGGGGAAAGAAAACAAAACAAATTTTCACAAATTCTCATTATTTTTTACATTTATTACCCTCACTTTAGATCAATTAGGTATGTCACATTTTCTTTGCTGTTTCCTATTAAATTATCCATATGGGTGTTTTGTACTTGACTCCTTAAGATGTTCCCTAATTAGAATTTAAGGTTTTACATAGAAAATTGCCTAAGTGTTAATAACGTGTCTCTCTGCTGGAAAACACAACTCATTAAGATCTTTACTGGGATAATGGCACCCCCTGGGACACCAAAGGCACCAGCAAAAAACCTCTGCTATGGATGTCCCATTTTCCCACCCACTAAACACTTTCCATCAAAGTAAATTCCCCCACAGCTTAGACTTGACATCCTGTGGCTTTTGCCTCCCTGAATCACATAAGGACACAGATGGTTACTGGGACTGAGACAGATGCCAAGCTTGAAATGCTCCAGCATGGAAATCTCCAGCTGTAAGACCACTGCAGCCCAGAAGATGTGTACAGGTCTGAACAAATTCTTGCACATTTGGCTTTCTGACCACAGATAGACAACCTATGGCCAGAAGGCTTGGCCAGGTTCATATTTGCCACTGTGAGCATGCCCTGAGAGACCCTAGAAAGGCCCTCTCTTAACTAACTCTATATAGGCTTGCAAGACTACTACCATCCTCCTATTTCCATAATATGTAGGTGCTAATGTGCTGAAAGCTTAAATGTTTTTTAGTTATTACCACTAAATAGCTTTTTCTTTCCCTGAAATTATTTTGCCTTTTAACTAAGATACAGTCACTTTTAACTAAATAAAGTCACTGTGATAACACTAGATCTGAACAGGTCATATTTACTGGTGAGCGTATAGAAATTAATTTAATTCGGAGCAAATGAATAGCTTTTTTAGTCAACAAGATAAATTATGTGAATGAAGTTTTATACCCACCAAAGACTTTAATTATGAGTTTGTTTTTTGGTGCCTAGTGTTCTGTGGCTATGCCTGTGAAACAGGAGATGCTCTGCAAGCTGTGGCATCAGGCGAAGCCCACTTGTAGATCTCCACACCGCCTAGGCAAACTCTCTCTTGGTCACTTCGCATTTTCACATGCACTTTATGAGAAGTCAGCCTGAATGAGGTCGCTTACTACATGATTCAGCCAAAGCTATTTCAGCTAAAAAATCATCTTGATGAAGCCTCTCGTCCCCCTCCCAAGTTCCTCCTGGACTGGACAGCAGTGGGACTGCCCTCAGTGAGGCATAGGACAGGGATCAGCCACTTCAGCACCCTCCCTTCTCCACATGCCACCATTTGGCTGGCCATGTGCTGGAATGCTTATTGTGAAATTTCCCCTACATGAGCAGGAAATCTTGGCTGCTCCATTAGGACAGCCCTCTGTCTGCTTTGCACAGCCAGGGCCAAGGTTGCATTCTGAACTTAGTGAGTGCTGTGGGTTTCCCAGAGGGAAGAGTACTCTAATTTTTAATTTTTTATTCAGTAGGGGGTTTGAAATGATAAGATTTCTAGAAGTGATGGGGAGCCACAATACACATCACACAGGGCAGTGTTGATGGGGGTGAGCTTTGCACCTCAGACAGTCAGGAATGTCAGTGGTGCCCTTACAAGTACTGCTGGCACACTGGGGCTGTGCCTGCTGCCTGACTGCCACAGGAACTACGTGCCTAATTCAAGGAAAAAATGTTTGGCTCAAAGCACACAGTTCTTCGGGGAACAAGAAATTTGCCTGTACCTTAAATTATTTTGCAGCTACTTAAATAACTGCTGTGCTAGAAGCTCTGCAGGCAGTAATTATTCTTCCATTTTCTTCTATTAGGCAGCCCTGAACTGAGCCATGAAAATTGCTTTGAAATCACAGCAGACAAAGAGGAAACTTTTGGATGTAATTTATTTTGGGATGTTCCAAACCAAAGCTATGGTCCAAACCCAAAAAGAAGTCCAGACCTGCCAAGTCCTTAATCATTGAAATGAAGAGACCACAAAACTGAATGAAAAGAGGATTGAAACAATTTTCCTACTCTGAAAAAGCCCCTTTTTTGGAGTTACTGTCAGAAGAAAATAAGGGAGCAACAAAACCCTTTAATATATCACTGATGTATCTAACTGGAGGTTACTTGCAGAGGCCAAACCTTTGAAATGGGAGCAGTGCTGGAGTTTGTCCTTGCTGGGAGAGAGCTCGTACGCGGACTTTGCATTTCAGAAAATAAAGCCTTAGCAGCATTTCAAGGGAAGTTTCCAACCACGCGAGAGCAAGAGTCTTCTTAAGAGTGTCCACAATACTCTGCCTTTAGAACATAATTGTTGCATAATATCCAAACTCTTCAGGCACTTATGGACTCATCTTAAAAACATTTAGCAGGTGCAGGATGACCTGTACCAGGTACAGGTATTATTTCTAGCACAGAAGTAACAAAGAGCTCACTCTGTTAGGATCAGGTGCCATTGAGCTCAAATATAATCACAGAACAGTGAAGTCTGTCAGTATCTGGAACCAGGAATGAAGATATATTTCAAAAATATGTGAATATGATCTGACAAATGACATAATTTATGTTAAAAGGACGAATGTATAATTAAAATACAAATGTAACTGAGTTCTGGCAAATTCAGAGTTTAAATCTAGTCTGGAACACAATGCCACAAACATGAAAAGAGGAGACAACATCAAGCAAAATTGTATGACTGGGAAAGCTAGCTGGGAATGAGGTTTCACTTTAGCAAATCCTGTGATATACTTGTTATGAAATATAAAATCATCTGTACTATCCCTCAAGTGGCAATCACCATCTAGAAATATTGTGTCAGCATCAAACCAGAATTAGTCCTGATGGGGATGCAAAGAGGCAGAGTGCAGTACAAAACTGTTTTCAACAATTGTATTTCATCTTGGGATGCAGCACAGTTTTGCTCAAGTTACTAAACACAGAGCACAGTTCCTGGGAAAAAGCCCTGCAGGATCACCCCTCATCCCCTCCGTTCACTGCGGTTTGCTTAAACCATTTGTGTGTACTTAATGTCCCCAGACATGTTCCTGGTGTCTCTGGGTGGGATTCAATGAGCACAGAGATATCCCATTTGAGCCAGGGACCCTGTAGTCCCAGGCACCAGCATCCTGTACCTCCGTGCGTTTCTGCCCTGTCAAAGCACCCAGTCCTACCTCTCAGTCCTGCCCTCAGCCAAGCGGGTGGAGAAATGCTTTTACTCCTATTTCATCTGTTAGATTCACTAACTTTTTTTTTTTTTTTTTTTTTTTAAAGTGCATCCTCCCTGTCATATGCATGGCACTAAAGCCCACATAGCACTATTCAGTATTCATTTATTTCTTCAGGAACCATGGAAGTTTACTTTTCCACAGAAAGTGCTTTGCTATTTTGAGCATGGAATGAGATGCATGACTGCTCCTGGAGGTCCCACTCCCAAAAGGAGAGTAAAGCAAAACCCTGGATGCCTCCCAGTGTAGTGCTGAGCCCAAAGAGATCAGGGAAGAGCCAAAAAGGATCTTTTCCAAAAAGGATCAGCAAAGCCTCAATTAGATGTTCTTAATACAACAGAGAGAACTCTTAAAATATCATAAGAGTATTATAGCAGGCTCTGAGAGGGATGTACAAGATGCCTGCAGCCCACCACGCTGACTAATATTGAGGTAGATGTGCTGCAAGTGAGACTGCCTGGCCTCCAGAAGTGTCTGTGGCAAGATCTGCAGGGAGCATGAACAGCTTTGAGATGTCCATCTGGTACAGTAGAAAACCAGGTGAGTTCTGAGTACACAAACACCTCTTCACATCCTGACATTCTGCTGTTTCCCTGTGCTCCACTACATAGCTCCATTGGTTATTTCTCATCAGGAAAAGGCTTTGGCCCATTTCAGTCCCACGTTTTAGCAATGCCCAAACCTGAGCTGCCAAAGAATCTGATTCCTCCATCCTACAGTTACACCACAAGTCATGAATAATAATAACACCGAGGATGTGGGTCTCTGTTACAGCTGCAGCTCAGTGACCTTTCCTGTCCTATTTTTTTCTTTATACCTTCTTGGACATAAATTCTAACTACAGCAGATCAAAAATACAAACCAAACATTTAAAAATCACAATTCTTTACTTAGATGCCATTAAAATATTCTGCCCACCTCAAACAATAGGTGATTCATCTGTGAAAGCTGATGATTTATTTATAAAGATGCGAAGTGCAAGGCTGCACCAAGATCTCAGGGCAAGACAGTGAACCAAGCAGTGTGTTATGAAACCCTCCACTGACACCTGCAGAAGATAAACTATTCAGCAGAGGGAGAAACACAACACGGGGAACATCCTGAGCCTTAGAACAAAAGCAGGTAAGGGTTTCCTTTGACTCCTCCATTTCTGTCAGAAATAAATACTTGAATAGCAATTTTGAAAATGGTGGTTGGCCTCACTTGTAACATTTTCAAATTCCACAAATCTTCCAAAGGGCCTTCCTCTGTTTTCCCGCTCCACATCCTTTTCCCTCAAAAGCCAAAGCCTAGATTTTTTTTCAGAATAGTAACCAATAAACAAATGAACAGGAACATTAGCAACAGGAAAGAAACATTACCAAATTTGAATATGAAAAATGAAGGAAAACAAAACCTTTTCAACAATGCCTGAGGAAGTCTACAAGTCCTAGGACTGGTCAGAAATTCTGTTAATCCAATTATTGATTTTCAACTTTAGGATACACTTTCAAATTCAGCCAAATTTGTCATTAATGATTAATGTAATACTAATTTCTGGGTGTTCTTCCCTATACACATTCAAGAATAACCATTCCAGCATGAAATTTATAACTAAACAAAACAACTTTATTTGTAGAGTATTTCCATGGCTGGTGAAGTCATTCAGATGCTCCACGCATTCTCCTCACAGGGGATTCTCTCCAAACAGTAACCATGGCCGGTTTGGTTGCTGACCTATGACATTTTCATGAGCTTCACCTGCTGCAGAGAGAAAGGAACAACCAGAGAAAGAAGTGCAGATCCCTGACTCACCATCCCCCATCCTGACAGCAGCAGAAGCACCCCAGCATCCCTCACAGACAACAGACACAGTGGGATGGCACCAGCCCATGCCCTGATCTTCCTAGGTTTGGCCCCAGCCCATCACTACAGTCTCTACCAGAGTTAAGCCTCTAGTTTTTCTTCCTTAGCAGGAATTTTCCATCAACCATTTCAGCTGGAAACTATCCACCTTCCTGCACCAGGAAAGGCAGAAAGCAGTCAGGGAGGGCAAGCCCCAAACACTACATAAGGTTTTACATTTGCCAGAGGCCCCAGTAAGTTTGCCAGTCTCCCTCATCTGCGGGGATGGGGTCTTGGATCCACCAGCAGAACCAGCCACTCGCTCTCCCATCAGAGAGCCAAACCAGCAGGCGGAGTTGTTCCTGTCGGCATCCAGAGTTCTGCTGCCTAAGAATTTTCCAGCCCTCACAGACTGGAACAAAGAGGCTTTTCACAGAGATCCAGATTGCCTCCAGAGGCTGTCCCTTCTTTATTTACAGGAAGGCTCTTAGGTTTAGTCTGGGGAGGTCTGCAGATTGCCAGGGGCCTCTAGGGGAAGAATTCTGTCAAAGAGCATATTGCAATGCATGCTCATGTCTGCCTTCTGATTCATTTAAATCTTCCCTGGAAATTAACTTCACAGCCCCAGCGCCATTGACTGTGCATGATTTATCTTCAGATTGCATTTGCCTTTTACATGTTTATGATCAACTTTTTTCTGAATAGCTGAATTACTTTGGATTTGTAGAGACAAAGACAAGACAACTTGCAGGACCAAGTGAGTACCCTACTAGGAAGTTCTGTGATATGGCTGGGCCAGAGGGCAAACTTGCCCTTCTTACTTCCATGTTCCTACCAAGTCTGCATCTCCAGCACTACCGCTCAGCTGACTCCAAAGCAGGCTGCTTCAGCACTGAGGGCAACAGTGGGAGAATGATGCCCAGAGAGGGAAAGTAAACACACGTCTGGCCACCACTATATATATATCTACTCCAGCATAAACTGTACCACAGAAGTATGATGAGAATGAGGGCCCAAAGCAGATGTGTGTATGGATCCAGGTAACACTGGTGGTGACCTCAAACTGCTCATCTGAGCATATCATTTTCAGACACAGGAAAAGGATTTAGCAACATACACATTGGTATTTAGTCCTATTTAGCCACCCAAGAAGATATTATATATAGGACTGATGAGATACTTGCAAGATCCTGAGGCAGCAAAATTCCACCTGAAGCTTCAGATATCAACTTAGATCTGTCAAACACCTGGATGGTCCAGGACTGAGCAAAGTTCCCTTGAACTCAGGGGGAAGGGCCATTGCCTCCATCCGTCTGGCTGCTGCTGTACACAAGGCAAGAAAAACAGCAATATTGTCAGTTGATAACAAGCTCATATTTATCTTAGCTATCATGTACTGGTTTCCCTCTAAGCCTGCAGAGAGGACAGATACCTATTATTTCTTTCATCTGGCACAGGCCTTCTTTCTCTGCTTATGCTCATGTAGGTAATGGCCCAGCCACTCAAGCTAGTATTATCAGACCCTACTTTTATAGATTTTCTGTATAAAAATACATGCTGTCAGACTACCCAGGAGGTGGAGATATCAAATAAGTAAGATAGCACTGAATCCATGTCACCCATCTTCATCAACCACATCAGGCATATGTAAGGACAGGACTGTATTCAATCTGAAACAATAATGGAGTATTGGGGGCATGGAGCATAGCAGGGTATTTTTAATTGGGATAGTCACATGATACAAAATGAGCAAGATTTGAAATAGATTTTATTGGGTCACCTGATATACATAGTAGACAAGTTTTCATGCACAAAAGAATCAGGGAACAGTTGCTTTAATGACAGAAGAGCATCTGGTACAAAATGCTAGCAGCAGCAGTATGGAAATTAGGTGAAAAAGCATCATGAAAGAAATTATCCAAAGATTCTCATCAAATAAAAAAATCCTGCATTAGCATGATGGGATAACTTGGGATACTCTGGAATTTTATGATCCATGCATATGCATGATGAAATTGATATGTTTTAAAAACAGTCCTGCAATGATGCTAGGATGAATTCCTGGGATGGTTTCTTGTGAAAAAATACAGTGCAGCCACAAAGAACTGCAGCACTAAAATTTCATTTTAGTGAAATTGCCATCATCATTTTTCACCTAATGTCAGTCAGTCTTCTCCTTCCATTAGAAAAAAGGTATCCTTTCATACCCTGTATTTAATTTGATTTCGCCAACAGAATTCTTATACCAGCTGCTCAGAGCCAATCAGCAATGACTTTTTTACAACAGACTGAAACACCTGTCTCTTTTATAATTATATGATTTTATTTTTGTTAGCAGTAAAATAAAGACAGTTAAATACTAACTTGGTTGAAAGAAATATCTTCACATATGAGGGACAGTAACAAACAGTTCCACTTCTTATCTCATTCATGGATTAAAAGTCACCCTCACAGTGAGGTTAGTTTGGGTGGGACAGCATTACAAGTGTTTGAGCCATGAGAACAGCATTCTTCATACAGTTGTTTTAGCTAACACAGTGCTTGGGTTCCCAGAGGAAACTATCAAGTAGCATTACTGCATGTTAAAGTAACTTCAGTTTTAAAGCCCCCAAAGCAATAATCATTGATAGGACTACCTGAAGAAATGAAGTGCTCAGGAAACAATTGTTTCAATGATAAAATCTTCACAGCAGCAGTCATCAAATGTTCATATGAGTACTAAAAAGAAGTGCAGAAGGTTTTATAACAGGTAGAAAACAAAAACAAAGGTATGTTGATGAATGCAAACTACCACCATGCAAGGTAAGTTACATTCTGACTATCGTTTCTATTGAGATACCAGGGTTTTCCAGTATTCCTCCCTACTTATCTTTAGAGATTGAGCATGCATGGAATGCAAAATGTTTTTATCTAGAAGCATCAAATCCCTTAAAATACTAGACCTTTGCTCTCTTTGACCTGAAGCAACGGTATGAGAACTTAAGAACAGCTAAACTAGCAGTCACTAACCATGGCCCACATGCATTAACCAAAGTATAAATGTACTGCAGTTCTGAATGACTCAAAAAATAAAGCAAGGGTGAGACTTGGTTTGAGAGGAGAATCATACAGAATCCAGTTTTTTACCAAAGATGTCAAATTAAATTCCTATTTTATAAAATGCAAGGAAGTTGTGTTTTACAGAACCTATATCAGTAACTATGAAAACACTGTTTTGTGTCTCTTTTAAACTGTCACTTATGGATACTATTTAGTCTAACCCTTTAGATTTTCTTGAGAAAATTTCCCAGCAATACAATATTTGGCTAAGTTGGACGGTATATGCAAACACAGCACATGATCTTGACAGCTTTGGCACATACACTTAGGCATTGTCCCTGACAATTAGGCACATGAGGACTGGATACATGGAAGAGTCACATGCCACACCACCACTCCTCCTGCAAGCACTTCTGTGATTCCCGGTGCCACCTGACTCAGATTGCAAGGAAGGTAAACCTCCTCCATCACTTTCTCCTTGGCAAGGTACTCCAGGATCATGGCCAGGGCTGTGCTGAAGAAACTGAAGGCATGTGGCATCATATAGGGCCGGATCAAGTAAACCACGATGTCTCCATCTGAGGGCAGAGAGGAGGGCCTGATAGCTGGCAATATTTAGGCTGCTGGTCATTGACCAGAAGCTACCAACACTTAGTGAGTGAGGTGAACGTCGGAGTATCTGAGTATCAGAGTATGATATGAGTATGATAAAAGGAAGGCTACATGCCAGGAACAGATATTCCTCTGGGAAAACAGCAGAGTTGAAAATCTGGGAAAGTTATATTTAAGTGCAAACTGATAGGGCTCAGAGCCTGGGTGAACAAGAAACAATATCCACAAGTCACAAGAGAAAACAGACAACCTCCCATAAATAGTTCCACTTTCAGGGCTGCTCACTGGCTCTGTGTAAGGCGGGACATGCCTGAAGCTCTGCATGATTCCCAGACTTTGTGTCAACAGTTTTCATATACAAGCAGCCTGACACCCTAAATCACAGGTGATGTTATCAGTATCCATCTCCCACTCTGCTCCTTCCTCTCATGAAGTAACTAAGAACCAAAGAGTTCAGTAAGACTGGAAACTAGACACTGCTTTCCGTTCATGACCAGACTCCTGTCTGGTTTTGCCTGTCCGTTTCCTCCAACCTCATTTTTGGAGCTGTTCAAACTGACCATGAAACTGCTGGACTGTCAGAAGCTCCTTTAAATTCCTGTCCATTTGCTTCCTGCACTTGAGGGCTTCCACCAGCCAGGGAAGAAAAAGAGAGCATCAATGTGACAGAAATGAATGGAAGCCATGATAATGAAAACACTATTTAAATGGGTGAATTGTCCCATCGACTTTGGTGAGAGCAGGGTCATACAAAGAAATGAACCAATACAAAACCTGCAAGGGTTTTAATTGTACCTATCCCACCACCCTGCCTAGAAGATTCTTCCCAGACATGGTACCTAAACCATGACATTTATGTCCTGATGCAAGTCCCTAACAGAACTGCACTTCTAAACCTAAAAGAATGAGGGGAATGATTCAGCAATTGAATCATTGAGATGTAACTCCTAAAGCACGCAGTCACAACACCCAGAGGTCCAGACCTGCCTACCCCTCCTCAGTTCTGCTCTTTGCTTAGCTCTGCTCTGCTTCTTATATAGCAATTGGTTGCAGCTGTGAAGAAGGTAGGATTGCTGACCATAAGTCACTTTATTCTTTCCCAAAGCTGTACCTATGGACTAAAACTGGTGTTTACTACAAGGTATCCACACAGATGTATCGAGCCTTTGAAACTGAAAGTAAGCAAAAGGGAAGAGGATTCCCGCTCAAAAGTGGTGAAGAACACAGATTCATTTTCCCACTCTGAGCCTGACCCTTCCCACCCTTAAAAAGCCTGCACTAATCCCCATGTAACCCTGGGAAGGCATTTACCCCACACTGTACCCAAGAATTAAACTCCCTGCTGCAATTCCTAGGTGTACACAGCACGGCACAAGAACAGGTGGAAAGTGCTGTAAAGTCACTCAGAAGGACCCAGTCCAAGACCAGTGGCTTGCAGAGGAGCACCCCAGCCCCTGTAGTACAGAGAGACCCCTGCAGGCCATATGGCCACAGAAGGGATCCTGGCTGCTCCTCCACAGGCTCTGGCAGCAGTGTTGTTCCACTGCCCCAGCACAGCCATCACCCCAAAATATCCTTCCTCCACAGCAATTCAGCGCTGCCACAGCCACCCCTGACACCTGAGGCTGGGTACAGACCAGGCTCCTCCAGGCTCATTTTGATTTGCAAAAGCCACTTATAAAATGGACACTGTCACTTTGCAAAACACAGAAGGAGACAACAAGGAACACTATTGCACTCCTGATTAAGTTTATGATAAATAAAGTTGTCAAACTGAATCTACAGTCCATCTATGTAATTGAGAACTACAAGCCCCATTATGGTTAGATTTAAGGTCAATAATCTCACTAAATAGTAACTGTTTAGGCAGTAAGATTATGCTTGATGAGAAGCACTCATTTTAGAAAGTTTTTCTATTACTGGTAAAATTCATCTTTGGAGGGATCTCTTTTAAATCCACTCAATATTTTTTGTCCTGGAAATACACAAGGTATTCCACAAATATTTGCATGACATTTTTTATCCCTGAACCTTTTTTCAAATAAAGGCTTAAATACAGAGTCCAGCAGTCACCTGAAACATTACCCTTTTTTTTTTTTTTTACGTAAAACATATTAAAAAAGGATTGAGGTGTTTTTTCAAAAGAAATCATCCAGTTCAACCTTGTTAATGCAAACTGTGCCTTTATTTTCCAAGCAGTCATAAGTTAATAGCTGTATTAAATTTATCACTTACATAAAGTTATGACCAGCTAGTTTTTGCAGCTCTAATATTCCCCAAAGAATAGTCTGTGGTTTAAATTACTTGATGGCATGGGAGAAGGGCTTTTCAAAGCATTTACAACCTGTCTCTTCTTCTGCAGAAGCTAATTGCCTATGCATAAATTCACTTTATCCATATAGATTTATGTCTTTTTCCATCACATAATATTAAGATGAAAAAATGTTGTGGTCCTGCCCTTGCACTAGAAGCCCCACACTAGAGTACCCTATACTCTTTACTACCCTTAATAGAATTTTTGCCTGAATGGCTTGTATTTTCAATTTCATTTTGTGCTGGTTTAAAGATCAATAGAGGAAGGTGACGCCAAGGCACAGTAATTTTAAGTATACAACTATTGTGCAGATGCTACTTTAAATATACAAGCAGGCTTTCGTGCCTGTCCAAACAAAAAGTGATAAAAAAATCTGCTTACACAGTGGCAGCAACAGGACCAAGATCCATGAATTTATGTCCATAAACATTGGCTGCAGCAGCAGCAGAACTAATCTGGTACACCCTCAGAAGTGCATCCCATATAGCCACCTTGCTGAGGGAAATCTACCTTGTTAAGAATTAACTAAGTTATACTGTCTTACATGGATTTTTACATAAATCACAAGTCTTCAAGTTGCTTTCTCTGGCTCCTTTTTTCTTTTTCTGGCTGAACATATCTAATGCACTAAAAAATAAGATTAAAATTTTACAATTGCCCAAGTAATGACCTATGAATCAAAGGGGGTCACTGTAAATACAGATGTGGTCTGGGATGGTGATTCAGAAAGACAGCAGCTTTCTGGTTAAGAGATAAACAGCAGTTGGCAACTTCTGGGACAGTTCCAACATCTCCCTCCAGAGATACCATCTCTGAGGTTTTGCCTGCAAAGGATGTTGATGTGCTTTAATTATGCCAGAATGTATTTACTGCTTGGGAAACAGTCATGCCAAGTCTGTTAAAGACAAACAGTACATGAAAGGAAACAATGTACAACGCAAATTTAATGCATCCCAGTTTGACAGTTAAGACTACCTTGGTATATTTTTTGTTAAAAATATAAAACATTCTGGGATAGTTAACATTGCAATCCAGGCCCATTACTGGCTACAGAGGGAAGTTTGCTAAGGACTTCCAGATGAACACAAGGCATAGCCTTTAACTGGCTATAAAGGACCCCCAGAGACTCTATATGCAGGCTCTGGGTACCACCATGATCTTGGAGATCTCCTGACACATTCTCTGCAGAGCTCAACCTAAAATAGGAGCACTCAAACTCTACATAAACCCCTCTTGGAGACAACTTGTCAAGAAAAGCAACAGAAACAGGCATAGAAGAAGAATCTCTAACCACAACAGCTTCTGGTTTTACAGCGTTTTAATGACAATCCCACCCCATTCTTATCTCATATACTCAGGGACTCAATAACATGCTCAAGTTTGTCAATATTTCAGCTGGACACAGTCACTACCTCCTTTGATACAGGTCCTTTTTCCTGTGTTGGTGGCTGACCTCTCTCCCTAACAACAACTTCATACAGACCAGAAACCTCATCTTATCCATGATATCTCTCTCTAGTGTCTATTGGGAGGGATTAACTAATTCCATCTCTTAAAGAAATCTAACTTATGCATTCATACCATACAATTATTATTCTAGTCGGTAATTCTTTTTTGTAGAAATATATTTTTTTCAGAGACATTGAGCAGGCAGAGACATCACAAACACTGGATCCAGTTGTTTTCATTATTTCTTCTTTACTGATGTGTCAAATAACTTCTGGGGCAGGTCACCCAAATGAATGCAGCACAACAGGTTGGGCATGTCTCAGTCTGTTTTCAGTCACAGAACACTGTAGCATTTGTTAAGT